CCCCCCCCCCCCCCCCCCCCCTCCCCCTCCCAACCATCAGCTCTGAGAGATGATAAAATCGGGTGATGGTCCGAGTGATAGCACTTCCCAACAGCAATCAGCGGCTGTCACACGGCTCTCGATGACTTCTGTATCTGAAATTTGCTTATAAACAATTTGATGGGGGTTTGATTTATTTGTATGCGCCAGCACGAGCATAGGCGGATCCAGGACCGGGTGAGGGCGAGGGGGAGAAGGACAGTGATGGGCTCCTCGCCCTCCCCTCCACTCCGTTCCCCCATCAGGCGGCAGAGGCGCCAGTGCTACAAAAACCCGGGTCTAAAGCTAAAACTAAAGAAAACCCTCCTCCCTGAGCCCCACTTTCCCTTTCCCTCCCCACCCGGACCGTTGCCAGGCCAGCAGCCCCACTCCCCATCCCTCACTTCCACTCCCTCCCTCCAGAAGTCCGTCCTGGGTGTATGAGTGTATGAGCTCGTTATCTAACGAACTGTAGAGGGATTGTTTGTTCCACTGTCCCCCTTTTCCACTGTGGTACTCATAGTTGGAGATCCTCGTATTTGTCAGTACCACGTAGAACAGATGTAAAACATTTGAGGAGCTTTTTAGCTAAATTTTTTTTTTCAGTTGATTGGCGTGTTCGTGCACTAGTAAGTGTTGTGAAAGAATGGGCAAAACGACGAGACATCAATGATGCGAATCGTTCATCGTTAACATCATATTCGCTAGTTCTCATGGTTATACATTACCTGCAGTGTATGCTTGTTTTTCTGTTTTTTTTAATGCCAAAATGATCAAAGTTTTTAGAAATTTTCAGTTACAATGGCCAGTGTTTGTAAGCTTGAAAATTTTTGTCCTTGTTGAAGCGTGAATAGCTAATTTTGAGTGCTGGTAATTGCGCCATTTCGAGTTAAAATCCTCCTTATTGGGAAAGCCATTGTTCCAAATTCAAGGAATATTCAAGGAATGTGACTGTGATTGTTCCGAATTTAGCATTAGTATGTCTAGCTGTGGTGCTTCCAACGTGCTGTTGATACTGTTTTCAAGAAAAAAGAGTCGTTGGTAATAGATTTGTTGGTTATGGTTTTGCCAGATCATTACTTGCGAGCTCCGGTCATGTTCCATTGACTGAAGGGAATCTATGTCGGAAAGAGAAGCTGGGCCGGTTGTGCCGTAAGGATAATGGATAACAGATGGACGAAAGAAATGACTGAATAGTACCCAAATTGTGTTAAAAGAACAGAATTGAGGCTAACAACATGCTGCTGGGCTAACAACATTACAACATTACAAGGCTAACGACATTACAAGGAGCAATAATACTGTAGTCGATTTTGGGCCAACTGCATGGATGGACATTCCGATTAGTAATAAACAGCCCTGTGACGTATTCCAGGCAGCCAGGATTGAAAACAAAGGATTCTTCTTTGTGTGTTTCATTTTAACAGTTATTGTTGCAGATGGACTGGAACAGCCGATTTTACCATCGCTGCAAGTGATGTATCCGAAACGATTCAGTGCAACAGCGGATGTTCGTTCGCTAAATGTCTCAACACATCTGGAGCCACCGCAGAACTGGGTGACCAATGAAACAACAACACTTGGCGAATTGCTCATCGGTTTCCTGGAATATTATGCATTTAAATTCGAGTACTTTTTTTGAGAATTTTATTACTTTCCTGGCTCTCACTTGTTTTGAAGATGTGAAGTATGGGACACAGAACACAGAACCTGAGGATTTTTTTCAAGAAAAAAAAAATAAGAATCTTAAGATTCTTAAAAAATAAGGATCTTAAGAAAAAAGCAGAACACAGGACCTAAGAAAAAATCAGGACACAGAAGCTAGGAATTTCCTAGGAGTTTTGATGATTCAAAAAAAAAGTGATCATCGGATTTCAGCTACCTCAAAGATGCGATATCGGTGCGGCTGGGCAAGAAAATTCCTCGTCTGGTTGTGGCACGACAAACATCTCTATGCAGTATTGCTCAGTGGAATTGCATTTGCATTGAAGGTATTGCTTGGAATTTTTGCAGGAAGGCTCTGTCATTTTCTCTTTTGCTGAATTTCTGAGGAATGCAGCGTTTATAAAAAATGATTTTAAATTTCAGAACCGTTTACGCTATCAAATACGGCGCATTCTGTTCACAGTCAAATGGTTTTTGATGCAATACGTCAGGCATTTGTTGATGGCTATAATGAGCTGAATAGAAATCGTGATTTGAAAGCATTCCTGGATGTGGGCCCAATCAATATTAACCTTACACCCTGTTCGAGAAGGTAAGAAAATGGCATTTTTGTCGGAAACTCGATTTTGAACCGAGAGGCAGCTAATTTGACAGGCATCTGTATGTTGTGAAGAATAACACTTAATTCATGTATTTGAGGGGGAAAAGCACAGTGGTATCCTCTTTTTTCTCACTCTTTGGGATGTTTTTGCAAGTTCATGGAAGGCTACAACGTGGATACGTGTGCGCATGTTGCGTATTATTGCTATAAATATTAATCTGTTAATATTTTTCTAAATTTTTTATAGATATTTCGTGGTACCTTCAAGTACTGTGTAGGATGTCCCATAGTACCTGGCTTTCAGCGAAGTTGGCTACCTGCCAAAGTTACTAACAAAAGCGAATTCACCTGTTTTTGTGAAAATTTTTTTGAGCAATTTGCGTAAATTTTAAGCTCAAGCGCACAACTAACAGAAACAGAAGCTAGCGATTCATCAACAAGTTCCGAAGCAACAGCGATTACTGGTGGCAAAACTCCGGAGCTCATTTCACCGCAACTGGAAAAAGAAGAAAGTTTTGAGCTAGTCGATGCCGATAGACCACTATCGTTTGACGGTGACTGTGGTGATGCGGAAGCGGAATTAATAGAAAGCATTTTCCCACAAACCATCCTGGATAACGTCAATGCTAAAAGGTATGAGCTTAAACTTTTGTAGCACTCAGTCAATTAAAATCAGCACTTTTTCTGCAAAAAGATAGCTTAGCTTTTGTTTTTTCACGATAAATTCATCGTTTTCTTGTGACTGAATGAGTATAGGACTCAGAAACGCCTTTAGTTTGCGTTTTTTTTGTAAAACAGTGAAGAATGCGCCCCTCCTTTATGTGCTTTGGTTCTATAAAGAGCTAAATTCGATGCAGGCGCGAGTTTTCCAGTCCCTTTTTGAATTGGCCCTCTCTCTCATCCACATACCTTCATGTATTGGTTCAAGCGGATGCTTCCACCGCACTGGCTATTCCCCTATGTTCTTCCAAGATTATTTTGGCACCATCCGAGGATTTTTTTAAACTTTAGATTTAAGATTAAGTTTATTGTTGCTTCATTTCACTTCTTTCTCTTTTTGTCATCATAATGAATTGCTAATTGTTCCGAATTAGCGTTCTGTTTGGTTTTAAATGGCATTCTACCACTGGAATAACAGGTATTTGTTTTTTCATGTGGTGGAGTTGATGACTGAAAAGCTAGGAATTTTTTTTTGAATTTTGAATTCAGGATTTTCCAACTCCTCAAATGTGATTCATTTGTTACAGCCATTGTGTTGTATCAGCAGTGGGTAACGAGAATGAAGTAAGCGATGCAGCAGTCGGTGCAGATTCGAAAGAAGAGGTAGGTGGCGCTTAGTGTTAAATATTTGTTGAATTTATCTTAATTTCAGCTACGCCGAGGTATAATGTTGTCAGGTTTTAGTCGTTTGACAAATAGAAAAGGCAATCTTCCTACAAAGTGTCAGACTTATTAAGAAGGCATGGGCTAAGTCACCTTCAGTTTGCTTCACGTGACTGAAATTTTGAGGAGATGTTCCCAGCGCACGTACATTTTAAAGACTGCAGATTCAGCCCTTAGGTGTGCGGGGTCCTCACGTAGGGTTTGGTGAGAAAATTGTTAACTCCGGAACCAGAAAAGCCTTCGGTACCGGGCTGCACACTCCAGTAAGTATTCCCCTCATCTTGGAGTTCTCGAAAAAGGCATTAACAGATATCTCAGTAAATAGTCGCAGTTGGTTAAGTTTTGCTGGAGCTGCCATGTCTGTCTTCGTTTCTAAAAAGATGAAGCAAGTGGAAGGGAATGCTGTAGATTAGGCAGTTTAGTAGTATTAATAAAAGTGGGCGCAGACTGAGCGCACTTTTATCATTACTAGTAATCTGAGCCTGAGCCTAAGAGACTGAGTTAGTTTTGTTTTTTGTAGGATCTGATTGAAAATGTGGTACCCGTGGAAGAGGACGAGAGCAATAATGCATCCACCACAGCTGTGCATGTTGATGTCAGTTTGGGGATAAAAAGTGGTACTTTGATGAACAAATCTGTACTCTCTGAGCGTCAACCCAAGGAACTACAGATGCAGTCTGCCGGGAGGAAGTATGCTTTTGTAGTATTTGTTTCTACGGTTAGCAAATACCAAGAACTTATAATGTCCTCTGTGTGTGTGTGTGTGTGTGTGTGTGTGTGTGTGTGTGTGTGTGTGTGTGTGTGTGTGTGTGT